TAAAACTGTATCAGAAATATTTTTCAGATGTTTAAATTTTCTTTTCAATTTAAAAAAACAACACTCGATTCATTTCTGTGAAAATGAAAACTATCTCTCAAACACAAGTATTGATATTTCAAATCAAACAATACCAATATCGTTTATTTTCTACTGTTTTCTATATAAGTTGTTATTCAGATCAATAAAGTATCCAAATCAAACAGACAAACTCGATGGATAATTCTAACAATTGATTTTAACATCTATTCAAATGATTGTTCGATTTTATTATTTACAATAAACAATACATGGACTGATTCTTTTAATTTTCTTAAACCGATCAATTCTTTTCTTTTCTATTCTTTTCCTAACATTAATAGTTCGCTCAAATATGACTTGTAAAGTATAATTAACTTCCGCTGTTCAAAAAGACAAACATTTTGAAATATTAAACGGATTCGATATATAGAATGGTAATAGATCATCAGCACCATTATTAATTCGAAGAAATATGATCACGTAAAAACAACTAAGAAAAACTAAAATAACACGAAAATTTACAGTTACATATAAAACAGATGAAGGAAAGAACGAAAAATGATTATAAAAAACTATGTTTACATTCTCTCTTTCTTCTTCTTGTTAATTTACTATTAGTGATAGACGACTGAAGAATACAAAAGAATCATTTTCTGTTGTTTAGCCATTCTCATCTTCACGCTGGTCATCCACATCTCTTCTATACATAAGAACGGACGAAAAATAGTGAAATATGCAATCAAATGTGTTAGGATAACTTCTTCTCATCCTGATATAAATGCATACACATGTGTATCATCTCGTTTCTTCTCTTCTTCTTTCTTAACATTGAACGTTGATATAAAAGTAAATTTATCGAATATTTTATATCAACTTATTATTTGATTTTAAATGATCATCCCCTTTTCATTATGCACATCTACATTTCAGAGGATGTGGGTGTGGGGTGTAGATGTGGGGTGTGGGTGGGAGTGGGGGTGTGGGTCTGGGTCAAGCGATGAAGTACATCGGTATCCACAGCGACACCCACACCCCAGCTGCTCTTCAAGTGTGAAAATGTATGTTCGCGAGGAACATCAGCAACAATATTGGGGCACGTCTAGTTCTCTGTGTCACTGTCCATGCGAGAGTATTGTGTGCCGTTAGTAATTATGGGTGTTAGGTTGGGTCTTTGTGTGCTTGGCACTGGAAACAGAACAGAAACCCAAGCTTGCATCCGCAGATGCTGACATCCACGCACATATAAAACTAGAAACCCGTCTGGAATCTCGACAGCTGCTTATTTCTGGGCTACAGTGTAAAGGGAGTGAGCAGAAAATAAATTTCCACAATTCTAGTAGGTGTTGTGATTAAGAAACACCAATTTATCAGGTGCAGGTGAGAGTGCAGATCTTATTTTTACTCTCAAGCGCATGCAGATCCGCAGCGACACCCACAGTCATCGACCGCACCCTGATCCTCACACTGCACATCCATACCTCGCACTCTAATAGGACGCCACCATTGCTCATTGACATTCTATTTGCGAGCATTTTCTTAATACTCGAACTAATTCAGTGGTACTAGAGAAAAATATATTAATGATCAAAGACAAACTTTTACCAAACTATGGTGAGCTGTTTATTAAAACAGAGACAAGTTCAATTTTTTAGACACAGGACTGATCTTTTTAATTTTTGATATATACGACAAATTAATTTCAGTAACATGTTCAAAACTTATTCGATAAATAAAATGTCTTCTTGTTTAAGATAAAATGAATCTCAGTCATTATTGATATACGGAACTACATAGCTTTGATATTCAGATGTTTTATCCTCCACTCATCGTTAAAGGTGAGGCTTTCGGATTTGACCGTTCGGTCGGCGACAACAGACGACTAGCAGGCGATGAAGTACAACCTGCACCCAAAGACAAAGGATAGCATACAGGTCTTTGACAACATGAATCAACAACACAGACTGAAGTCGAAGATGGGCATGAACTACAATCACCAAGACTTGAGCAATATGTATCTTGAGCGCAAAAGCCCGTGCCATTTGACAATTTGAAACAGTAACAACTCCAATTTGATGAACATGTTGGCACAAACGATCCGCAAACTTGACCAAAGCATGATCCTAAAGAAAATCAAGAAGAAAATTTATGTAAAAATTGACGTACTATTATTTTCTTGAATTGCAACCTGCTATACAAAGATAATCTGATTCACGTCTAGTTCTCTGTACTTGTGTCTACCAAACTGAATTTCTTAGCTCATTTGCAGCTTGTGTCCATTGTCCCTTCTGCAGAGCACTTTTCATTTGTACAAATGTCTGCAAGGTTTTACAACCAGCGAATGCTACATCGATTACTGCCGCTCGTTTGAGTGTTGGTAAATTAGAGACATAATTATCAGCACATGCTGAAGCTTCGACATAAGATATTTTATTAAAAATGTCATCAGCTTGATTACTAGTGAGGCAACTGTTGCTTGTTTTCTTTTGACAATCTAGCAGAACACTTGCTCGAGTTAAATTATATTTTGACATTACAGTAGCAGCATCCGCACGATTTAAATTGAATCCTATGCCAATTGTTGGTATATTTAAAGAATCGTAATAGCAACATAGCTTTTTTCCTTCATTAATTATGGTTTGTTTGGCGCTGCATTGGGCTGATGTTACAGTTGTGTACGAAAAAAATATCAGTATTTTTAATATACTCATAAATCTTTCTTATTGCAGTAAATAGTTCGAACGATTGATGAAAACGAATGCAACGGTGTTTGAAGCAAATGTTGAATATATATATGTAAGTATATAGTCAATTAGCAGAACGGAAGTGAGCAAATAGTAAGACTACCCCGATGAAGACGACAGAGCCGATGATTTATCGCCCGTGACTTCTTCCTCTGAGTAATCTTCCTATCTGCTCATTTTCGTTCTGCTACTTCGCGACAAACATATATATACATATCTTTATCGCAAAGTAGCAGAACGGAAGTGAGCAGATAGGAAGACTACATCGATGAAGACGACAGAGCTGATGATTCACTGCCCGTGACTTCTTCCTCTGAGTAATCTTCCTATCTGCTCATTTCCGTTCTGCTACTTCGCGACAAACATATATATACATATCTTTATCGCAAAGTAGCAGAACGGAAGTGAGCAGATAGAAAGACTACATCGATGAAGACGACAGAGCTGATGATTCACTGCCCGTGACTTCCTCCTCTGAGTAGTCTTACTATCTATTCACTTTCATTCTGCTACTTTGCGATAAGGGTGTGGGTGTGTGGGGTGTGTGGGTGTGAGAGTGGGTGCGGGTGTGGGGGGTGGGGGGGGTGGGGTGGGGGTGGGGGGTGTGGGTGTGGGTGTGGGGTGTGGGGTGTGGGTGTGTGGGTGTGGGTGTGGTGTGGGCGTTGAAGGGAAGATTCACACCCATACCCACACCCACTCACACCCACACCCCCACACCCACACCCTCCAAAGAATATTTCCTTTTTTCTTTGTCTTGCAACCTGCTAAAAATGAATTATAATGATTGTATTATGCAAAATCTTTAAACTTCGACAGTTTCAACATACGAAAGTTTCCATGACCATTATTGTTTAGTACCAATAAACCCCGTTTTTGACGGGCTTTCATTTGGTATAAAATTTATTATTAACTCTATTTGAAAATATAGCGGTACCCCCCTATCAAAATATTTTTCCCAACCTAGTACACCCGTAAAAACGAAGTGTATTCTGCTCGTCATGTGAATTGTAGCGATTGGATACATATGCGGATGTGCGCGAATTAAGTGGTTGTATCATCTCTTCACCCACACTCTTTATTGAAATATCTTCCAAAGAGATCAATGCTTCGTAAGTAGATATTTGAATGATTCTGTTTTACTTACTGATAGTCAGTTTATATATTTATATACCAGAAAAAGGATGCTTGGACTTTGGGCAATCTCCTTCTTTGAATGAGGAAACTAAATTTTTCCTGGTATCAGTAGAAAGCCGTATAAAAACTATTAAAGTTTTGCTCATATTTAGCAGTTTTTGTCAGCATACCTCAAAATAATAGAATCTACCTCTGTAGTTTTATAGATTTATTAAAGAGCAAAGCTCCTTCTGTCTTTTATGACTTAGATTGCCAACTCATCAGGCAAAGAATTAATTGGATTCTATTTCAAAAATAAATGGATTCTATTGACTCAAATGCATTTGAATTATAACTTCAACATTTTTTATCACTTTTATTTATTTTTCTAGATTGATTTATGATTCAAAGTAAATAGATAAACCAAAAAAAAAATAAATCAAGAGTAAAAGTAAACTAAAAATAAAATGCAATTTAGAACAACTGTACCATATTGTTATAATTCTCCTAAATTCAAATTGTCACTAGCTTAATTAGTTATGTTTGATCAATACTTTAAAAAGTATTTTGTCTTTAATTGTGTTACTTATTCCAAAACGTAGCTACCATATAAAAGAAAGCGGAACCAAGCTACCCATGCTGGACTCGATGTAGTGTTGACACGAAGAAAACGTATTCTGGCCAATGGTGGATTGAATGTCATGTTGATCCATTGTCCGGCGATTGTTGCATTGACTAAATCTTTAACTAGTTATATGGAGTTCAAGTCAGAACCGACGAACAGTTGATGACTTGTTAAACCATCGGGATATTGATTAACTTGTAGACACACATCACAAATACGACTCTCTTGAGGAAGTTCTAACTGAATATATTGAGGAGCAAAACCACCCGAGTTAAATCCAAGACCATTTGCTTGTCGATCAACAAGATAATTTCCTTGATACATAGGCGAGCCATAGCCCACCGGGCAGAAATTAGAGGCAGTCACTTTGGCACATTTTGATAAAGGAATAACTGTAACAGAAAAATAAAATCATGAAAAATCAATATTGAAATATTAATTAATATTTTGAAATGTTTCAATATGCAAAGAAAAGCATCAGACATCAGTCCTAACTAAGCGTAATAGGTGGCAAGCGTAAATTGTCTCACTTTTGAATTTGTGGATCATAACTGTTACTCTACAGATTATCTTTGAATTCTTCTTTGTAAAACTTTAGAAATTCCAAAAATCCAAGAAGAAGCGAAAAAATCTTTTTGATCATAACAAACTCTCTTCTTAGAAATTCGCTCACTTTTCAGAAAGTTTCTAGCTATGTGTCTGATCAGAGAAATCATCCGTGTGACATTTTGAAGAATCCACGTACTAAGATAGTATCGAATTCTAAATTACAAGGAGCAATTGGTATAAAAGTCAGTAACTTTTCATAGAATAATATTAAGATATTGTCTACTAACCGCTCACTGTCGTTGTTGTTGTTGTGGTCTTGGTGGTTGTTGACGTTGTTGTGGACTTTGTGGTCACTCTTGTTGTCACTGTCGTCGTGTAAATGTTCATGCGAGTAAAGCTCACTGCCACTGGACCAGTCACTATACCTGAAAATGTTCCTGTTACCTCTGCTCTGTATGTCGCAATCACTAGAAAACAAGTATAACTAGACCCAAAGTCAATTATAAAGCGAAACTGTTGTGTATCAAAATTGCTATCGTCATGTTGTATCCAATAATTTAAAGATGGCTTAGTCGGGTCGAAATTGATCTTGTATAAATAGCCATACGTATCAATAAGGCTATTGCTCTCAATAATATATTTTCCAGGGGTAGAAACATTTATTTTTATGACATCATAATAGTCATTTCCAACTGGACCATCCAACCGAGAATACGTTGGACTACTAGTTGTTAATGCACCCGAATAAATTGACAGAATCACGCCTGGATTTGCTGTTTAATGAGAAAAAGAAATTATGAAAATGTTTCACTTCGATAGATTAGTACAGACGATTTCTAACATTTATCTGCCACAACTGAGTTGGAACCCATTCTGTCGAATTAGATTAGATCAAAGTTTAAAGTGGATTCTTTAAGACCTGCTTTTTCTATGTTCAATCATTATACAGCTTTTTTTTCCTGTAGCTAACGACTTTTTACATCAATTAAGGATCTTTCACTCATTTTCGTGAGTTAAAAGATCATATAAAATGAACTTTAAATCTGAGTAAAAATCTGAAATGCAAAGAATGCATTCCCAACCAACCATTCGATAGGCTTTTCGACGCGTCGATTTAGGCTTCCGATGGGCATCGGAATTCCCAATCGACCCCTGGGTTTGCCATTTTCCGATGGGTCGAGGGCTCCGCGATGGGTTGCTTTTCCAAGTATTTTGCAGTTGATATGATCTTCTATCTCGAGGGCTCGAAATATAAATTCCGATTGGTACTTGAAGACCACACTATCGATGATTTTCGATAAGCTATTCCGATACCCATCGAATGACCTTTCTCGATAGGTTCTAAGTGAAACGAAAGTTGCAAAATATCGAGTGGTCGATGTTTCGCAGGGCTCCGAGCGGTCGAAATTTCGACCACTCGAAATTTTCGATAATTTTCAAAAAATTTTCGCCACCAGTTATTTTCGAGCACTCGACACTGATTGAATAACAGTAAATTCGAACATATATACTTACGAATACCAGAGCCCTCGAGACCTATCGGAAATAAATGCAGAACAGTAGATTCGAACAAATGTACTTACGATTATGAAGCTTTCATTAACCAGATGATCTAAATATGACATTCTCAGCCTGAATAAATCTACGTTTCGTCATGAAATATATAAAACTTTGATGAAATTTTTTTCGTGTATGATCTAAACTAATTTTTTTTCGAAAAAAATGTGAGAGGAAATTGCTACTATTAATAAAAAAATATTTCGTATATAATCTTGACTATTTTTAAAGAAAAATTTTTTTTTCAATATATGATATTGAATAATTTTTTTTTCGAAAAAAAATAGGAAGAGACTAATACTATTAATGAAAAAAAAATTAATATATAATCTTGGCTATTTTTTTCGAAAAAAATTGAGAGAAATTTGTTACTATTAATGGTTGAAAAACTAATTCCAGTTATTATAAGTTTTCTTGTGTGAACTAGAAGTTTTATGAGCAAATATAAAATACTTTATTATCTATTACAGTTGAAAAAAAATCAAAGAGATGTTAGAAAAAAATATGACAACTCTCACTCAACTGCTCTCTTTAAGATTTGAATATTCGATTATTTCAATAGTTTCTTCATTATTAAGAAATTTGAAAGAATGTTTCTGCAAAATATGCGATGACGATCTAAGAATAAGACACGAAGAACGTTTTCGAATGTAAATATTCGGAATTGTTGAGAATGTTGTGTTATTCGTTTTAAATTGTAATAAATGATGTCTTGCGAATTCATCAATAAGATCTTCCAATAAAATAAATATTTTTCCATTATCGTTTGGATCGCTTACAATCGCTCTAATAAGTCCTAATTTAATTTGTCGTCCAAATACAAATGAAACACAACAATCGGCGAATTTGCGAGATTTTGTGGATGATAAAGTTTTATATTTAACATGTTTGATGGCTAATTCATCATGATACAAGAAATTTTTTTTTCTAATTAAGTTCAAATGCTTCATCTCGTCAACATAATTTGTAAAAGACACTCGTTTTCTCACGTGTATTCCTTGATTTGATACTAATTTGCGACTAAGAATACTTTCATTAAAATAAAATAGTTTTTCTGGATAATCAAGTTTGAATACATCAATTATAGCTTGTCGATAATATTGTAAATTTGAAATTAATTGTGGTCCATAGTGTGTCATACCATGGATCATGCACACCAGGTCATGACCAATGCCTGAGATAGTAATTAAGAATAAATACAACCTGAAAAATTCTTTTTAAACCGATGATAAAACCTATTGAATTGTTAGCAATTTTTGTGTAATGCGTAGAAAATGAAAGAATAGTGAGAAATAAATGATCAGGTAGTTATAGCTCATTTAACTTTGAATTTTGATAACTCATGATATTCTAAAAACATAAGTCTTTTTCAAATCGCTACAAACGAGTTAAAACACCTTAAATGAATATAAAGCGATCAAACTCATTGTATTACTTTTATTACTGATGTCAAAATGTAATTATAATCGCATCAGCTAATAATTGATGATGATTTTTTTTTCCTTCAACTTAACAAAACACTTATCGTTCAAATAAAAATTGAAATAATCTTTATCAATATTTATCTATATTTTTGTTCTCATTATAATGAGATAATATCCATGATAGAGAATTATATGTAATAACGACGTGTAGTCTGCAAACTAACCTTCAAAATTAAAAGCACTATACATATATAAAGGACCTAGAAATTGTATTGATTCATGAATATGTAAAAGTGAATGTATTTTGGATGACATATGACGAAGACCAAATATCTTTTGCCAATCTTTTACATATTGATGTAAGAATTCTTTGACTAAAATTATATCATAATTGTCAATAATATCTTTAGAAGCAATGTTAACAGCAGCTAATAACAATGCAAAATGTCGACGATATTTTGGTAACTTTGCTTGTAACAATACTGTTGAACCGTGATGCATTAAGGATCTGAATTCGTTCGCCTTGAAACGTGCAATATGTTTTATTGTTCGAAATCTTCGACTTGTAGTAGTTGGAATTTTAACAGAAGATAACCCTTGATCAATACTATTTATTTTATTATAAAGCGACCATTTTTGTTGACGATCAGTTTTGGATTTAGAAAAAATCAACGAACAAAATTTTTTAAATACACCTAAATATAATGTATGCAATGAATCAAAGAGTATTGATTCACCAAAAGAATAATATTTTAATTTTGTTAAAGGGCACGGAGCTAAAACAAATAAATTTCACAACATATATGCAGCAAATAATTATATAAAATTTTCTTCTGAAAGACTCTCCCAAATAACCTGGTTAAATCAAGGCATCCGAGACAATATTTAGACAATACTTATCAGCATGTCCTTTAACAGGAGAGCCATGCTGTTCGGCTTCGATCGCCAGATTATTGCATATGGAATTATTCCTGACTTCATCATTTCTATACGGAAATACTTTGATGGTACTTTTTCGTACCTTTTTCGAATAGATAGTGAAATTTTCACCTAAAATAATGCAATAAATTTTGAACTTGAAAAATGAAACTAAAGAATAATTATAATGTACCTTCAGTAAAGCATTTTGCACAGCTATAATTAGCATTGTGGGAGACCATATTAGTTAATAACGATTGAGCTGGTTTATCTGTACATGATGCAATAATAAAAAATTGAATATTTTGTTCACCTACACCAGGAATAAAAAAAGTAACACCAGCTTCTAATTGTGCACATTCTTGATATATCATGTCCAGTATAGTTCGAAATAATTTATTAGTTGGATGATTTGGTGTTGATAAAACACCACCAAGAATAATAGATTATCAAATGCATTTTGTTGATTGCTTTGTGTTGTTTTATCAATTTGAGTTGATTTCTTAACAATCGTAATTGATGAATTTGTTTTCATTTGCATTCCAATAATCTCAGGTTTTTTTGATTCATTTTTTTGCTTTTTTTGTTTAAATGTTGTACATTCCGTTACTTTGTTATTGTTATTTGATTCGGAGACAATGGTAATCAACCATGTTGATTTATCAACTGTTAAAGAAGTATCACCTTCACAATATTCTTCACATTCCTCGAATGTTTCTATTAAAAACCGTCAAGAAGAATATGATATAATATATAAGTAAATATATGGTTTTATCTAATCTTACCTTTAAATAGGAGTTTACCTCGAAGACGCCGATGTCTATCATTTTTGTCAACAAATAAATAATCACCATTTACTTTTATTTTCACGTTTTTTGATGAGTGTATGCAGCTTGCTGGAACAAAACTTACTTCATTTTCATCAAATTTAACTACACATATCGGATCCATTACTTATTGTATGTAGCGTGACAAACAGACTGCTGTTGCATAGCCATCTATATATATGTCGTATCGAAATTACAACGGTCGTTAAAGTTGCAAGGTCGACAGGCATTGTTACCTGTCGACCTTGCAACTTTGACGACCGTTGTAATTTCGATACGACATATATATGAAAGAATGACTTTTTAAACTCAAGGAACAATCCAGAATGTTATTGCCATTCTAATAATAATTATTTTTAGGTGTCCAGCGAACTAAAGTTAGTTGGATGAGATCACCAAATCAAAGTGAAGAATCACTAAAGAAACTGAATTTCAAGAACTTTCGGCTCATCAAAATTGAATTGAATAATGAAAACCGCTTCGTCGCTAGATTTGCCGAGAGAGAGTAATCAAAATTTCGATAGGCTTGGAGTGCTCGAAATTACATCGAGTAATCGAAAGTAGTTGTCCGATGGGTTTTTTCTCTTCGAGTAGTCGGTAAACCGATGGTTTTCGAGTGGTCGAAATGTATCCGAGGAGCCGAAAATAAATGTTCGATAGGAGTATGCTTCCGAGAGGTCGATATTCGATGGGTACCGAGGGGCTCGAATATTGAACAGAACGAGAAAAAAATATATATGTCAAGTTTCGACCACTCGTCGCGCCCATCGATAGCTTTTTTCTGTTTGCTTGGGTTGTTACGAATTCGTATGTGAGAAAACATTAGTAGAGCGGCTACAATATCTTTTAATTATGTGGTTTTTACCCTAATTATAAAAAAGATCGTTAAAATAGAAGAATGAGGGAAAAACACAGACATCTATTTCTTTTTTTCTTACTGTTCTTTCAGACCGATAACTTTACAAGAGCATAAAAGCAGCAGCCTACCACCAAATAATAGAACTCGATGCCGAAAAAGTATCAAGGTGCTTCGCTGCTGTGAGTTCCATCGCTACACTTTTTCCTACAAAATTTTTCTCTTCATACCCATTTGATTGGCATTCTACTCTCTTTTATCAAGTATAACTATGCTTGTAATTCAATATCTGTTTCACTGTATTTTTCTATTTGATCATCGATTGCCGTAATATAATATCAGCATTCTTTTCACTTTCAAAGAACATTGAAACTCAGGATTAAATATCTCAACTTTCTCCAGTGTTGGAGTGACGTTTACTATGATTTCTCATCAGTGTTCGAATGCTTTTCTTTCAAACATCTTTAGTTTTAGGACTGTTGTCATAACTAACATAGCATAATGAAATATCATCAGATCGAGAACTATGATAAAACTTAGTCACCGATAACTTTTAGAATGTCCGATTCTTCGTCTTTTTGAAAGTGCTTACATGGCTCTGAAAATTTTTCTTTTGAAAGAACGAGGTCAATTTCTTTTCTATATACTCCAATATTGATTAACAATCGTATAATATGCAAGAAAATTTAGCATTGTGTTTAGATTTGTGATGTTGATTTTAATTACATATTATCTATGTAAATCTAGTGTAGAATCAAAACAGTCTATTTATTTATATCTATTCAAGGAGTAAAATAATTAAACGAAGAGTTGAACTGTGGAATTATAGTTAAGGAAAAAGAAGCAAATTCAAAATATCACAATCTTGGTGGATTCTGGTAGCTCTAAGAGATTCTCATGAATTTAGTAGTTATTAGCGTTCATTAGAATCCACTACAATCTCTTTTTTTGTCTTCCTTGGTTGAAAATCATTAATGAGATTTAGTGAACTAAAGTGGTTTTTGTCGATCTTCAGTGTATGGGCATAGACATTGGTGGGTTTTCTTAAATTCTGGTAATTTCTAATGAACTATGGTACAGTCCAATGAATCCATTCTAGGATTGGATGTGCACTGCTACCGATCAAGTAAATAATGACTTAAAATGGGCCTGAATAACTGTATACGAGTTTCCTATTGTTCAGCTGGTAGCAATTAACTCTGTGTGTCGAGGATGGCGTAGTGGTTCTATGGATCTGATTATAGTCAGAGATCAGAAGGTTCGATTCCTTCTCCCGGCATCGTGCATTCGGTGTCAAGATATATGGTATCGGAAGAATAAACAAAAGAAAAAGCAACGATGCACGCTACATCGTCATCATTGGCTCGAATTCGATTTTCATTCTGTTCGTTTTCATTTCTTTGTATTCTTTCTCTGTTTATTATCATTATCCTGTCCGTTGCATACATTCGTAAGCGTCCGCAAAAATTGTAAAAAATCTCCCAAAAAAAAAGAAATTATGGATGTCACGAATAAAATTCAGCATAATTAAAAAAAATTAACTCTGTAAACAGTTCAAGTTGGTAGCCAGTGAATCAGACGTCAGTTTAACGGGTATTCGAATCAATTCGATTGTCGATATCCAGTTAGCTTGTACTGGCGCATATCCATGTAGAATCTATCAGAATCCATAGATTCCATTAGAGTCCGTCAAAATTTGAGAATCCAGGATAATTTTCTCCCTACCCCTTCTCTTACATTTATTTCTCGTCCTATGGTATAGTAACCCTAGAACCGTAGGTTTCTATATTCGAGTAAAATGTTTCATGGAATTTTGAAATACGCTTAAAAACCTACTCTACTTCTACTGGAAATGAATTTTTACTTGTTGTAGTCGTAATAGCTGTTGTGATTGGTGGTAATGTGGATCCACTTCCTGTGCAATTATAGTACAGTTGAATTTCTTGAATGTCAGTTGCACTTAAATAAAGGCGCTGTCCGATCTTAACGTTTGGTTGAAGTGCTTCAATTGTTGGCAAACCATTTTTAGAAAATTCATCAGATTTGTAGTGCATTAAGGATGTATAATCGTACAGTGTATTTTGAGTGTCAACTCGTGTATTATCCATTTTCTGAAACTGGTCTTGCATGCCTAAGAATGAGAAAAAAAAACAGTGAATTATTGTTATCATTATGGCACAGAGATTCTCCTATAAAAAGAAAGAATTTTTACCATCTATTATATTTTGCGACCCAGGTCGAATTCACCCTGTCGAATCTGATAGAAATTCGCCGGAATTTGTCGGAATCCTAACCACAGGATTCCGACAAGTGGTTCTGGATGTCGGAAAGTGTCGGAGTTTCAGGGATTTCGCAGGATCCTGATTATTCCGACATCCGGAACCTCCTGTCGGAATCCTGTGGCTAGGACGCCGACAACTTCCGACGAGTTCCCGTCGGATCCGTTAAAATCCGGTAATTTTTCCGATATAATCCGATATAATCCGACGTAATCCGACAGTCGGATCGAATCACCTGGGGAATTGATTCGTACATATGAGTCACGATCGGGGCGTGATTGTTCATGCCAGAAACCTATTTTTATACAAAGAATAATATACACTAAAACCTCCCAGAGTCGACAGTTTTTCACGAGTTTTCTTTCACAAATAGCTTCTCTATGGCGGCAGGTGTGAGAGTTCTGTTCTGTTTCTCCGACACCCACACTGACATCTCTATACTCTAAGAACATTGTTAATATGTAATACTTTGGTTAGAGAATGGTGTAACATATCCAAAAAACTATGACATTTATATGAAAAATGTTAGGAGATCTCAATTTAACACATTCGACCCGATTCAGTTTTGTTAGAAAATTTTTTCGAGATGTTCATTTTCATGGACAGTTAACTAATAAATGCACTTAATGACCTCAGGCGATCAATAGAGAGGTACCGAAAGGTAGCATTTGAATTAGTTTTTGGGGCGGCACTAGTAAATAGCTATTTGATATACAAGGAAAACTACAGGGCAAGCAAAGTGACCATTCTGCAGTTTCGTGAAAGTCTTGTCCGGTCTTTACTGCTTCGCACACCAATCGAGAAGCTGGAACCTGGTCCAAGACAGCAATCAGCAAATTATTCGAAGCGCAACCTTGCTGATCACAAACTCGAAGAAAAGGAAGGATCTACGCGCAATGTTGGCAGACGGTGCACTAGCTGCTATGCGAAGGGAAGAGCACAACAGTCAGGAGAAGCGACCTATGCAGCAGCAAAGAAAGTAAAAACTTTCTGTTCTGACAGTGATAAATTTTTTTGTCTTGAGTATTTTAATGATAAGCATTATGCTATGGAGTAAAGAACTCAAATAAAGTACTAAAGGCAGCACAGTTGACTCCTTATATTTACCCTCCTACTTAAGAAAAAAGCAAAACCAAATGCCTTTCTATACAGTTTCTCGTTAAACTATAGCGTAGCCCACCGGTGGGCTACATCGGGTCGAATGTGTTAATCTTTCTTTTTTTTCTTCATATTTTTCTGAATTTTGGCCAAAAAGAAAGTCATAGTCATATTCGGTGTCCCATTTATCATTGTGTAATAAATCATATATATCACTCAAGTAAATAAAGACGGCATCACGATTTCTATACGACTTAAATGTGAAATGTTACTGAACCAGTTCATTGCTAGGCAATAACGTTTCATCATGTCTCCGACAACCTATAGAATAAACGAAGTAAATGGATCCAAATGTCTCCATATAATAGACTTCATTACAGCTTTACAACTGAGTTTTACAGGAATTTTTGCGCTTGATTAGTTCTTGCTGAGACATCGGACAGGCGTAACTTGTACAATATTTTCTGTTCATGTTTTATGTTCTCTCCCACAATTGAAGATCTCCTTATATTATAAGATGACCCCATAATAAAAGATCTTCCTAGAAAAAATTTGCGCGAGATAATAGAAGGTCGCCATTTATTTAATAAATTTTTTGAAAAGCAAGAACAATAAATAATGCGTTTACATCATAATATACCTCGTTTTTAGAGTTTTGAGCTGAAAATCTTCAATGAATTTGTTCAAAACTAGACTTAAGCTTTTAGAATCTTAAAAGTCTTTATTTAGATCTTCAAAGCCATCTTGGTTTTTCAAAAAAACTTCTTAGTTAAAATTTATTAAAATAACTTTTAAATAACAAAAAATCTGGAGTCTTTTATTACGGGAATAAGCTTAGATGAAATCTCATCCAAAATATAATTTTATTTGTTCCATGCGAATTCAAGGAAGCAATAGACAAAACATATTTTCTTATGAAATGACTTATCGGTTGCTTGTTCATAAAAGGTGTCATCATATTCTTGCCTTATACCGATCTCATCATCATCGAGTAATCGTTAAATCTCTCTATTTTCAAAGGTAGAATGTAATAGGCGCTACTTTTGCAACCGATCCTACCAATGTGATGAAGCTATTTTATAACTCTTTCATTAATCTCATTCATTGCTTATTTTTCTTTTAGTTAACTATTAAGTTTTCTCTGAAATTATCCTGCTCTCAGCCTAAACTACTCTATTTCAACAATAAAGTTTCCCATATATACATTCGTATTGAATATATGGTGTTCTACAAGAAAATATCAGAATCTCCACAGAAGCATTTCGAGACGCTTTTAATAATATAAAAAACGATGTCAAGAAATAAATGACAACACCTACCTAATGTATACAAGAATTCATGCATTATTATTCCATCAATCAGACATTCTGAACTGTTCAATACAACTGTATGATTGTCGTAAGGACTGTAAGGTCGTCCAAGCTAATACAAAGGAAAAACAATATTGTGAAGGACACAGACCTATCGTTCTGCATGCTACATACAGAAGACCAGCAACCTGGTCCGTTCATAATTGTGATGTAATACTGATCAGATGGCTCTTTGGATCGAAATTGAATACAACGAGCATTATTAATAGCTGCTGTACTTTCTAATCTTCGCATTGCATCAATAATCTTTGCTTGTTGTTCAGTCGCTAAAGAAAAATAGATATTGTTCTACATCAAGTTGCCGTTCGGTTGAAAATAATTTCAGAAAAATATTTTCTATAATAATTTATATTCAGCTGATATGAAGCTGAACAATAAAAACAATATTATTAGAATTGTGAGTATACATACTATATCCGGGTGAAAATTGATAGGGAACAATTCCATTTGTCCAACGTGCAGCTCTATCAAGAGTTGCAACTCCACGCTTCAATTTATAGAAAAAAACGAAAGAAAATGTTATCACAAATTATCATGATCAACTTACCAGTTTAGTCCCTTAAGAAGTATATCACCTTGATATAGTTTCGTTTAAAAATATTAAAAAGATCAGTATAGAAGTTTTATTGAGTCAAATTAAAAAGTACTACATTTATTCTAATTTTTATTCAGTGGCTTAGTATCGAATCTCTCAAGGACAGAAGATTTTCATTACAACTCGTTATTGTTTACATAAAGAAAAAGATGATTCAAATGCTATAGCATCACTAATACGTTTCATGTTTGACGAAAATTTGTGAAAAGGTTACAATAATAAATCTTGTGAGTCCAGGTTAATTCGATTCATCGGCGGGCCGCCAGCTGGCAATTGGTGGCAATTGCCACACCTAAAAATATTATTAGTGGTGCAGTTAAATCT